GATGAAAAAATCTAATCCATCTCATTTACCGACGAACATTTCTACTAAAGACCGGGCAAAAAGTGGGGGGAAACTATTCTGCACCCCGTGCAACTGTGTGTTGGAGCATAAGAGAAAATCGACGGTGACGACCCACTTTGATTCATTCAAACATTCGAAAATGCTTTCTGCTGCTGCGGACAAGAAAGCCAAACAACTCACGTTCACGAGGCATCAACCTCCAAAACCCTTTCGAGGGCTACAAGAAACGAAGTGAGTAGCCTACAAGATTGAAGCTGGTCAGATAACGAATGAGTAAATGAAAACAGAATGAGGCGGAGAAGTGTGTGTGTGTGTGTGTGGGGGGGGGGTGATTAAAATAGCCCAAAAATATTTACAATAAATAAACATTGAATGTGTTTAATTGAATAGTAAAGGGGTTTAACGTTAGTGGCAGGTTGTGTGTGAGAGAGAATAAATAAGACAGCCCAATATTTAAAAAAATTGTTAATATTTTTTCCCGCATATTTCGCAACTTCCCGCAATTTCACCGCATAAAATCACATAAACCCCGCATGTTTAATCGCATAATCAAGGATTTTTGCCCGCGTTTTTCTGGAGGGTCTAATTAGTCCTCCGGTTTGAATACATTTGACTGAATGAGTGAGGATTCGCTCTTGGATGCTGCACCATCAGAGGAAGGAGTTAAGTAGAAGGAATGAACTGAGATGATGGATGAGAGGCAGCGAGAGAAGTTTGAAACTCAGAGGAAATGTCCTGCTGGGTGAGGAAATCTAAGATGCCATACTAAATGTCACACACGCTGCACAGGAAGATGAACATTTGCAGTCTCTGCAGGAGGTTCAGGTTCATTTGAAAAAGTGCGTCTTCTGTGTGAGGCATGACTCACAGACTGAAACAACGATACTGTCAAAGCAAGTAGAAAAAAAAAGAAGCAAATTCGTCCTCCAAGAGGTTTTGATTTCTTCCAACAAAAGTTTGAAAAACGCCAAAACAAAGCATCAGACATGCCGCCATATTCAAATGTATTCTAATTGACTCATTCGTTAACTTCTACTGAACACTGGAGCCACATGCTCATAGCCAACCCTGGTCCTGTCCATGGAGAGAGGGAATACTGCTGCCAACATGTACTGGAAGGTCAGTGGAGCGCTTTGTTTTGGTTCTCCACCAAAAATGACATTTTGTGGCCGGGTCCGGAACATCCAGATGTTGGACTTTCTGATAATGCATCTTAATATAAATGATAAAAAACTGTTAATCACCAGCCCTCATCTGGTGGAAGAAATCCAAGGTCTGGACCACCACCAAAAACTAAAGTGGCCTGCATGCAATCTGGCCAACTGGAGGTCACACATTTACTTAATTTGTTACAGCTTATTGACTTTCGAATAAACAAAAACCTTTCGGGTAAAAATAAAGGTGACAGAGGATTCAGCGTTTGAGCACAAAGGGTGACAGAAATGATCGTAAAGGAACCTGATCAATCACATGTTTTTATTTGATTGCAAAACTAGCAAGATAAAGAGGCCCTTTTATGTTTTTTTTGGGGGGGGGGGGGGGTTCCTTTCGGGGTTATAGTGTAGTGTGTTATAGTGGTATGTAAATGGTCCGCAACGGCTAAAATCCCAAAGTCCCCTCCAGAAACGCCTCCATTAGACTCTTTTGTTTACTTCCGTTACATAAATAAATCCCAACAAGTTTGTCTTTCTAAAAAAAACTGAGAATAGGACGTAAGAAGTAAACAATTAATCACATGACGCTCCAGACAGGGTGCAGATGGTCCAACAGTGAGAGCTGGCATCCATGTGGACCTGCAGAATTTAAATATACCACAGTTTTGAGCTCAAACTGTGAGGAAATACAGACTCCTCTCGTCTGGAACCGGGCCGAAACAGGAAGCCAACGTTCCCCTCCGGTGGGCGCTGGACGATGACTCACACATTCATCTCCCAGCAGCAGCACAACAAGCCAAATGTCGTTTCACAATGAGGAAGTACAAGTGGTGCACTTTCAGACCTCTCTTCACAAATCCATTTTTTCCATTATGTGGCTTGTGTAGGTGCTAGCAGGTGATTTGAGGGGAAAGTGCTGAACAAGTGGAAGAAGAGGGGGAGGAGTGGGGAGGAGATGAAGGAGAGGAAGAGAGAGAAAAGGAAACTAGAGGACTTTAGGTCATGGAGTTGTGGAGTGGGAGAGGGTATTGTGAGCGCCTCGGTTTCTAGAAGTAAAGCCACATTCATTTTCATGAGACAATGCTACGTGACTCATAGTTGGATCAGTATGAAACTAATTCATCTGTTAAAGGAAACTGAGCTGCATCCGAAACCATCTTGTTATTAAATTATATATATATAAAGCTGAAAACGATATGAATATTAAAACGGAAACGTTGACTTCCAGATAGGGCCTGGCAATATCAAAAAGATATATGGTGAAATGAAACAAGAAAAAACAAAGTTAGAATATGAACAACTTGGTAGCCGTAACATGAACAAATGAGTGTTGCATTAATCAACGGTAGTGTTTCCATGCTGAGTAACAATGAGGATGTTGTTAAAGACTAAAAGAAAAAAAAAGGGGAAATGCACTTACTGGTCATGTCGTTGTATAGCTCTATGTAATGCAGGTAGTGGATAGCTCGGTTCTTGGCCTGAAGATCACACAAACACATTGTTGTCATTGGTTTGCTACCTTTTTGTTATTATTATTAGCATCTAAGTTAGGAAGTTGCTGCAGTCATAGAAACATTTTATTAACGTGATTGTTAAGTTACAAAATCATAAGAAGCAGAACACAAATGATTTTCTCTGTGGGACTGCCCTGTGATGAAGCCTTTTGTAAAGAAAATACTGAGTTACATAATAATTGTGTACAGGCATATATTTATAGATTTATATGTGATGTTGATCTTGTGGCATTGATCAGGCAATATTTTACACTGGTTAGACTTTCTTGTATTACAGAAATCTGAAGGGACCAAGTATCTGTTGATGATATACACAACAGTTTGGATTTGTATGCAAAAAAATATAAATGTGGTTTTCCTAATCTGGGTTTAGTGGAAATGAAGGGTCCTGTTATTGACTAAAAGCTATACAAGCACTACTAAATTAGCCTAAATGGAAGTTATTATTCATCAAAGCCCTGACACTCTGGTAAAACAATGTGTTGTAGTACGTCAATTAGTATTGTACTACTCAGTTTGACCTAATGACTAAATTATATATAAATACAAACATGGGGATATTAACACAAAAGCTGAATAACTAACAAATAACTCTGCGGTCTTACCTTCCTCAGGGCTGTGTTTCTGTCTGCTGCTTTACCCACTGCAAATCCTGGTGGAGAGAAGAGAGAGGAATTTGGTATTCATTGTTATCAATACTGCAAATAAACGCATATATCATATATATCTTATATGGTCATTGTAACATGTGTATTAAAGCAGCCCTAGCAGCCTCTGTAATGACAGGTTGAAGGCAGGTGGATCTCAGGAGTCTGTGGAAGAGTTTCCTCAGCATTTCTGCACATTTGATTTTGTAGCTCAATTCTGAAAAGCTGTCAAATATATTTCCCCGTATCTACACAGAACACCTTATTTTCCCAATTTGAGAAATTCACAGAAACTGTCAAAGATTGATGTGATTCATGTTCAGAAAACATTTTTTTTAAAGGACATTCTTCTTCTTCTTCATTTCTTTCAAATTATTCTCCGTGCTGTGAAATAAATGTAATTTGCAGAGTGTCTAACCTGCGGCTCCTTTGCCGTTTC